GCTGAGGGAGAGGGCACTGTCGGAGGGTCAGTGCTGAGGGAGTGGGCACTGTCGGAGGGTCAGTGCTGAGGGAGTGGGCACTGTTTGTGAGTTGAGGTGATCCTGAAACTCGGGCACTAATTGTCCTAATTTCTCATTACCGCATCCCATTGGCGGACCCGGCCGCCCATCAAACCGATCCCTCCATTCAATTGGACCGTGTCCTTCACTTTATTTGGTCATCCCGTTTCCATTGGACGATGTGGGTGGACCATCTTTCGTTTTCCCCGTTTCCATTGGCTCATGTTTACATCCATCAACAGCGAAGACCCCCCCAGTGATTAGACAATCGGTCGTTCTACCCACCCTCTCTTTCCTTTCATTGGCAGTTGTCGCTGTCTGTCCAGCAAGACCCGTGGCACCATCCAGTTATGTTCCATTCCACTGGTCAATAGCTTCGTCCTTCCAATATCGTCCTTTGCTATTGGTAGTAGTTTCTACCATTTGAATCGCCCAGCTCCGTTTATTTGATGGTGCCTCCCTTTTCCCACCACCGACGCAGGTCCGCACTGTCATTGGCCCGTCTTCCTGTCCATCATTCCGTTCTGCGCCGTTGATTGGCGCCGGACCACCCGCCGCTCTCAACAATTGGTTTGTATGCCTGTCCTTTCTACTGGTCCCCTGCAGTGATTGGATTGTGGTCTTTCCCCTCCCCATCCTTTCATTGGTCAGTTCGTTCCCGTTTGGCCATTCACTATTGGCCGATATTCCGTCCCTTGTGTGGATTCCGTTTTCCGATTGAGCGATGTGACCGTCTATCGTGGCAGCCCCGCCTCCAATCCCAGTCCCTTTGGACCTATTGATCAGCGCAGTTGTCCATCAGAACAACCCCGCCTACCATCCCAGTCCCGTTTTCCCATTGAGCAGCGCAGCTGTCCATCGGACTAGCCCCGCCTACAGACCCAGTCCCGTTTTGCCATTGATCAGCGCAGCTGTCCATCAGAACCAGCCCGCCTACCATCCCAGTCCCGTTTTCCCATTAAGCAGTGCGGCTGTCCAACAATGAAGCCCCGCCTTCCAGCCCAGCCCACTCTGATTGGATAATCTACCATCCCGTTCACCATTGTGAGTGTTGTTGGTGATGGATCATGGTTGTTTTCCACCTCAGCTGCTCAACTGTGGAGTGAATCACACGTCTTCCTGTGGAACGCTTTTGTGTCGTTTCCTTCTTGTTCACAGCTTTCCAGCTGCTGCCATATAATTTCATCATTCTTTTTGTTGGATTGTGCTATGTGCAATTGTTTACCTTATTTGTTTATTAACTGAAACTTCTCTGTAAAAGAGTAATTGCTTTTACGTGGAATATGTGAGGCATCTGGAGGGCTCATTCTTTTTAAGTTTCCCTTCACTTTGGCATGTTGCCATCAGTCAAACACAATTCTGTCACTTCCAATGATATTTGTAAATAATTGACCTCTATGTAAAACTAACATCAGTAGTTTCCAATCCATTCCTAGATAAATTGCCTGCTTTTCTTCCGAATTGAGGGTGGTAGACTAATTCACTGCATTAACACGTTCATATCGTGATGCAGAATAGTACATGAAAGCAACTACAGGAGTATTTGGAAATGGCCCAACTTATGTTCTCTAAATGATATTTCTGGGTCTTCAAATTCTCGTAGTCAATCTGAAGGTTTTTACCGTAGTCTCTTTATGGTAAGCATTGACCCAAAAAAACATGTTGCAGGAACTAATGTTTATAGATGACCAGTGTTGCTATAGCAAAATTATTAATACATTCTGGATACCCATTATGGTGCTCACAACAAATCGGATGATGAGGTTTTATTGGGATAGTGGTGTATTAAGGTGCAACACGCATTGTTCCTCAGAATTGCTTTGATGTGGCTTGGATTTTCAAGGAGGCGTGGAGATTCCCTGTCCTTCCAAAGTGATGTCTAGGACCCAGATTCAGAAGTGTCTTTCCCCCAATTACAACCAAATTTCGCAGTAGGACAAAGGATCAGGACCCACATAAGGGAAGTTCAAACATAATGCTTAAGGGCTATCATTATACAATTATTAATATAGGAGTAAATAACTGTAGATGCTGGAATCTGTACTGAAAACATGAAATGCTGGAAATCGCAGAGCTCTGATGAAGAGTCATCTAGATTCGAAACATTAGCTTGCTCTGTCTCCATGAATGCTGCCTGACCCGCTGATATTTCCAGCATTTTTTGTTTTCAGCTCATTGTTAATGCCTGGCTGTTTTTGACAACCTATAATTTTATCAGCAAAGCTCCCCATTTCAGTTTAATTGTCAACTCAAAGAGGTTATTAAAGGATTCCAATATTTGATATAATTCATGATCTGTTCATCTCACGAGAGTTAAGTGCGTGACGGTATTTAAATATTTTAAGTTGGCACTTGTGAGTGAAAGTGCTTTTTGGTACAGTGAAGGCTGTAATACAGATTGATATTAAACTTTATTTCAATTCAACATGGCTCCTGAGGTCTGCATATGGTGGATACTAGGTGAGTTAGCATAGAAGGTGTTAGAGCAAAAGGTTGTCGATGGATTGGCCAATTAGCATGGATTAACACGGGCACAGTGGTTAGCACTGCTGCCTCACAGCGCCAGGGACCTGGGTTCAATTCCACTCTGGGGCGACTGTCTGTGTTGCACACTCTCCCCGTGTCTGTGTGGGTTTCCTCTGGGGGCTCCGGTTTCCTCCCGCAATCCAAAGATGTGCAGGTTAGGGTGGATTGGCCATGCTAAATTGTCCCGTAGCATCCAGGGATGTGCAGATTTGGTGGGTTTATAGGTGGATGGGTCTGGGTGGAATGCTCTGAGGGTCGGTGTGGACTTGTTGGGCTGAAGGGCCTGTTTCCACACTGTAGGGATTCTATGGTCTATGATGATGGTGTGGGGGATCATGGGATGATCATAGAG